TTTAATTCCAATATTTAATTAATAACAAAATTAAATATTTTTTTAACAATTAAAAGTAATTATACTTTAGTTTTGAAGTTATGCCAGATATTATTAATTGGCTGAGTTAAAAATAAAATAGAATTTGTTCATAATTCTTATGAAATAATTGAAATGTTATCAATTGTAAAATTATTAGGATTAGGTAACTTCTAAAATAAAAATAATATATAGGTAATAAAAACAACAAATATAATATATATATATTAAACTATACAATTTAGACAACTTTATTTTTTAGTATCTATTATAACAAAATTAATAATTGGTTAAATGTTGGTTTAATTCTTTTTACTATCTTAAATTAATTATTAAAATATTAACAGTTATATCTATATATATATAAACATATTTGTGTGATTAATAAAGAATTTATATATGGTTAGCATTTAGTAGCAAATTAGATAAAGTGAAAAAAAAACCTAAATAGTAATTACTATTTGGCAAAATTTTTTTAGTAAAATGCGTAGCTAATTATAATAGTTAGTTTTATAATTTTAATTAAATGGCAATTGATAATTTTACACTATACAGCTGCAGTTATTCCAAGTTTTTTGTTTTTCTTTATGTTAAATGGTGCCTGAGCTAAATGGTACTTAATTCTTCCTTCTAATTCATTTTGGGAAACRTTCATAAATTTTGATTGACATATTACTGTGTCTGTAAAATAATAATATATAAACTGCTATAATAGACATATTTAAATGTGAAAATATAAATAATATTCAATTAATAATCTTACCAAAAATAATGTGACAAATAATCAGATCGCAAAATTTTCTTTTTCCTTTTTTACCATTATACGAAAATAGAGAGAGTAGATTGTCAGTAAATAATTTCATCAGTATTCTCTTCATAGTAGAATTTATGTTGTTACCTCCCAAATATGATRAATATTGAACCTAAAATGAATGAAATAAATGATGTAATAAATATTGTACAATATAATTTAATTGATTACTACAGAAAATTAATAATTGTTTTACAATTTTAAACCATAATGTATCTAAAATGGGATGGAATATYAATAATAAGTTTTAGGTTCTAGCAGTATTAAGTTAAATCATTTGTTATCTAAATAATAATTTATAATTTTACTGTATTACTTAAACTAGATACACGTGGGTTTATTATTTTTATGGTTGTTTTGTTGTTATTATTAATAGTACTATTTTTATATGACGATGATATACTGTCCTAGTGTGTCCAATGAACCGTGATTTTGTGTGTTGACTGTCGAATAGTTTAAGTTGTTGAAGTAATACAAATTCATTGTATTGATAATATTTGTTATATTTGTTAATCGCCTGCAGCCCATTAAAGTTACACAATACTGTATTAACTCCTACATACATACCAAACATTTTTTTAAATTGGATTTTGTATTAATTTTGTCTTCTATATTATTCAAATCATCTATGTCATCTAATGGAAAATTGCACTCTTGTAATTCATTAACATTATTATCATCTACTTGTTTTTTATTATTTCCATAATTAGATTCAAAAGCTTCCAGTTTATTTAATATTAATTCATTTTGCTTCATTTCAATATGTTTCATATCAGTTTGTAAGTATACAATATTTCTTAAAATAGCTTTTAGCATCTTTGGTGAACCTATAATAAAAAAAAAGATAGTTATTACTTAATATGCATTGTGATACAAACAAACTAAAATAATTTTTATGACATTCAACAATAGTAGTTTATTATAATATAGAAATCTATTCACTTTTAAAATATTTATAAATTTTTTATATACATGGAAAATACTTGTAGACAATGTTGATCAAAAGTAAATAATATCAACAATAATTAAATGTGATTTATAATAAATTATTAATTAATAGGTAAACGTTTTCTAAACAAAATATTTAATTTAAATAAATAGTAAATAAATTGATTAATCATATTTTAATTTATCCTGCAGTTCATTAAATATGCTTCTACTTTATAAGTTATAATGCAGGTGCAAACAATAATGCTTTCTTTTCATTTCATCAAATTTGTAGACAATAAAATATTTATTCTTTTTTTTTATTGAACTTAAGCCCGGCGACTAAGGCCATTAGCTGTTGTAAGGGTTATGAACTGTAATGTAGGAGAAGAGTTGGTATGTTAGGTTGTTTTTTACGATTGTTTACGGTTGATACAGTAGGTTTCAAACTTGTGTATGTGCGGAAAGGTTTTTAACTACTATGAACCCGGATCGTCACAGGCTGTTGCTTACTCCCAGTCACATTCCATGACTGGTAGCAGCCCAAGGTTTATAGATAATATAGGTTGCCTCATTTCGAAATTTTCGAAAAGTAGGAGTGGGAGAAAAAACGATAATGACGTCACTCGCTGTACAAACAAAATAATTGTTTATTGACATTATTATTTAATGTATACTTATAGAAGTATACTTATAGTATAGAACATTTTTATTCATTAGTACCTGAATACATATATTCGTATATACAGTTTTAATAATATTATATAGTTAAGGTACCTATATAATGTCATCTGAGACTTTTAAGCCTAAAGATGGATCGTGTTGTGCTGTTGCGAATTGCAAACAATATTCTAGCAAAGCAAAAATTGATGGAACTGACATATCGTTTCACAGGTAAAAAAAAAAAATTGCTGTTACCTATATTACACATACTGACATACCTATATGCCAATTACGAAGAAACAATCTTCAATACAATAACAAAAAAACAAATTATAATTTTTAGGTTTCCTAAAGATTTGGATCAACAAAAATTGTGGGCCCAGAAATGTAAAAGAGATGATAAGTGGAATCCTCAAACATCGTATATTTGTTCAATTCACTTTAGTTCGGATGCTTTTGTGCACAATATGAAAGCGAAACTCTTAGGTAATCATCAACAATTAACAAAGTAATGCCTCTAGATTCTAACAAAAAAATATTCAACATTTTTAGGATACAGTCCTAGAGTTCGAAAATTAAAACAGGATGCTGTTCCAACATTAAATCTACCAGCTGCTTCTTTCGACCAAAATGATATATCTATATCAGCAATCAATCGTCGGAATAGGATGGATGCTAAACTGGCCAAAAAGGTATCAATTGACAAATAATTATATTCTATTTAGTAAAAATTAAAATATCCTTTAATTTTGTATTAATAATTAGAGCTTAGATTTATATGCGTTAATTGAATTTAGGTATATGCAAATAAAATAAAATAATATGTACCTATAATATAGGTCCTGTATAATATATATCAATGTATACAGGGTGTAACAGATCGAACTGAGTTTTAGAATAACTTTTGTTCTAATTAATATATTTTTTATTTTTTAGCTAATAATATAATCAAATATTTACCAAAAATTAAAACTATCTATTAATTAGTAGGTAGTAATAAAATCAGAAAATATATACATTTATTTAATGTTTTATACTTAAAAGGCCAACATATACCCAGCTTCAATACAATTTTATAAAAGAATATTCTGATAGACATCTTGACTAACTCACTTGTTAAAAATTATAGACTAAAATATTACAAATACCTAATGCATTAAAAGTATAATAAATTATTTTTTTAATATTATATTTATATTTTTTTCTCTTCAGGTTCATGATGAACTGGTGACATCAAGTCTTTCATCAATATCACCACCTGCAACATTATATATTGAGGCCAATTTGTTAATTTATTTATTTTCTCAAATGTTACAGATCATTAAACTAGTTAAGACTTAAGTTCTATAGAATCAAACCAATTTTATAATTTTTCTTAACTAATGAAGGTAATATTCTACAAGCCGCATCGAACTCCGTTTTTCAATATTTAAATCTCAAATTTTATATCTTCAAAAATAA